GTTCTAGGCTAGCCCCCGTTAACGATACAGGAGGCTGAGTCAATGCATAACGCCTCCGACATGAGCGACACCGCTTCCGAACCTATCAAGGCAGACTTCCAGCTGATCAACTCCCTTCCTTCCCCTCGAGCAAAGCCGAAACCACCCTCGAACCACAACAGACTACCAACAAAGGTCAACGGCCGAAACACGGCACGCCCCATATTACGAAGCACTCCACAGTGACGCTTCACCATAACAAAGATAACCGTACCAAAGCAATGTCCTCGTGGCGCAAACGGACAGCTGATAAGCACCAATCAACACCTGTACCAATGGATTGCGTGAGGTCGAAACCATTCTGATCCCAAACGCCGCCCTTCACGAAGGTTTCGACCCAACCCGCCCAATCACTGCTCAAGCCCTACCTACTCGAGGCGCCCAACAATGCTATTAAGCCCCAGAAATATAACAAATACCGCGGCTTTCAAAAACGGAGGACGTTCTACCAGTCATCACAACAAAATGGAACTATGAGCAGCCCGCACAGCATCAATGCAGTGATTCCCCCAATAAATAACCATCCGCCCGGTACGCTATCGCCCAGTCGGCCCTACAAAAAGCGCTATGCCATCCAAAAGTCAACTACACAACCCCGTTACCAATCTTCACAACCTCTCGAAACAGTGGGGAACAAAGCACCCTTACAAGGACGACGCCCTTCTGCAAATCTCTGCAGCTCCATCAACACTACCCCGCACTCACTGACCATACGTTCTCCTGAACGAAAAGTATATCCGAATTACAAGCACTTCAACCGGGCCATGCCATCCACAGCCCCTTTTTTATGGGATGCAGTAGAACAGGATCCACCTCGTCCATTCCACCAAGAGTTCTTGCCAGCTATCTTTTACCTCCAACAACTCATATGCTCACTGCAAATAACCCCCACGGTTGGCAACAGCCCTCCGGGTAGGTTCTACAGCCAATAATATTACCAAAGCCTCCTAAACGGCCGACTACCATCAGCTGCCTACTCAATCACTTCCTGATCACATTCCTATATCACCCTCTCCACCATTTCTTACCACTTCCAAGTACCCTGCGCCAGTTGCACCCTATTGTGCAACTTACCTCACACAATCTAACTCCTTCAACTTCCTTGCATTGCATCATACAGCATGCTGCTTATTAATGCGCGATCCACTGCACCCAAGATGCACCTCATTGGCCCATTTATCCTACTCTCATACGCACAGCTGGTTCTCAGCACAAAAACGTGGCACCCCTCAAAGGCCTCTGACAGCCTACTATGCATCACTGGCTACACCACATTCTGTAACGGACGAGACAACTAGCGTGTTGACGGTTGCCTTATCTGTGACTGGGACGACTTTGGTGCACCCGATTTCGAACCGTTATCTATAGGTGACCCTGAAGACTCCATCTGGATCAAGACGACAGAAGGTCAACTTGACCTCCTTATCGGTTGCGTATACAACCCTCCACGCGCCTCTAGCGAAAAGGTTAATAAAATCACTGAGCTTTTCACTGAAATTTCCTTAATGCCCCCACGTCACAAGATAGTAGTTGGCGATTTCAATATGCAACTTATCCCCTGGAACGCCCAGGCCGCCCCACTCAGCTACAGAAGTTTCGTTGACACCGTCCACGTAAATAACTGGACCCAACAAGTTCACCATCACACCAGGCTTTCTAACACCCTAGACTTACTCTTTACCCAAGGTGTCTCTGATGCAGTTGCTGGTATATTAGATAATATACAAGGCTGCGACCACAAGTTGGTTAAACTCATATTTGCACTTTCTACTTCACACTGAACCACTTCTTCTGTTAAACAGTTTCGAATGTTCAATTACATTAACTGGGACAGCTTTGAGATATTAGTGCGATCTGTGAACTGGAACAACTCCTTTTTAGCTACCGATGTAGACGCAGCCGCACACGACCTATATCTAAATTTCTCCAGCTGCCTAGATGTGATCACCTCACTCACTCGTAGAAGCCGCTTAAAGATGACAGTGAAATCAGCAAAAGCCTACGGTGTACTTAGGAAGATCAAAAAATGCGCCAGCGATACTCCAAAACTAAGGAATTCCACATACTTGTTCGCATGAACGAAATCCTTGCCAACTGGCAAACTGCGCAGGAATCAGCTAAGATTGCTGAAGAAGCTGCTGCCCTTAAATCTAACAATAAAACCGTCACTCAGTCAACTACTTCGACAAAGAAGCAACCAAAAATCTACCCCTGGTGCCTCACTCAGACTTTTTGACACATCCGTTATTAGCGATCCATCAAAAATATGTGAGACCCTCACTGGATACTTCTGCGATTCTTTCACCCCCGCAAAGGCAACCTCATCTGTTATGCCAGCTAGACACACCAATGACTCACCCGACATTATTAAATTTGACCTACCTTCTATCACTCGAGTAATCAGCTCAGCCAAATGGTCATCACATCCTGGTCCCGATGATCTCACCTCTGCGTTGCTGATAATCGGTGGCCAGGACATTCCAGTTCTACTTCTCAACCTATTCACGCTTTCCATGACTAGCGGGATTTATCCAACCACATGGAAACATGCCACCGTCATCTCCTAACACAAAAGGGCAGTCAGCAGAACATGGAAAACTATCGTCCCATCAGCCACACGCCTATAGCTTCCAGAGCAAGGGAACGAATAATCAAAGAAACCATCTCACCATCCTGCTTACTCGTAACTTTGTCAATCAACAACAACATGGCTTTCTGCCATCTAAATCCTCTCAGAGCTGCCAATTGGAGTTCATCAACCATGTAACTCAACAGATTGACAACAAGCAAGCAATAGCCACCCTCTTCCTAGGCGGGACAAAAGCCTTTGACACAGTACCACGTACAGAACTATTGATGAAGCTGGAATCATACAGTATCTCCGGCAAACTGCACACTTGGTTATCATCATATCTTACAGCTCGCTCACAGTCAGGAATGGTTAGGGACTTTATGTCACTTTCAAAAGCAGTCAAAAGTGGCGTAATTCGAGGAAGCTTTTTAGGCCCTCTACTTTTCCTGCTCTATATCAGTGACATGTTCCAGGTCTTCAAACATGGGACACCCTACCTCTTTGCCGACATAATTGTCTACCCATTTCGTCCATCAAACATCCACACCGCCCTCTCCCATATACAATACGACTTAATAGCACTAGCTGCATGGTGCAACACAGGGAAGTTGGTATCCACACCAGCAAAATGCAATATCTTTACATACAGTTGCATCATGCCACCCAATACCTTAATCCTACAAGGCACACCATTAGGGAACTGGCTTACAGTGCGTGACTTACACGTGCACTACTCCTGTTCGCTGAACTTCGCGGAACAAGTAGTTTATTCCGCAGCTAAAGCAAGCTCTCTCATCGGTGGCATCCTCAAAACTGTGACAATACAGGAAGCTAGAACCGCGCTCTATAAAACATATGTCCGGTGTCTGCTAGAGTAGTGCTCTATAGTATTCACCAACCTCAGAAAATGCGACAGAATAGTCCTTGAAAAGGTTCAGTGTACCTTCACAAAACGCCTCCTATGGCACTCAAGTCTAAGCTACCGTGATCGATGCAACACACTTAAGCTCGACCCGTTATGGCTGGGCCGACTGAAAACCAACCTGGCTTTCCTATACTCGCTCAGTAACAAACCCAATGGGAGCCAACCAACACCTGTCTCAGACACACTTATCACTTCATACCCCCTACGTCATAGACCCCACGCCATTATCCCACCAGGAACGCGCAGTATTATTAGCCCAACTTCGACCTCTACAGATATGCACACGTATGGAATTGATTACCTCTCACAATAAGGGCATCGGCGAAGATAAACCAGTTCCGCTTCTCTATTAGCAAGTACCTCTCTGTCACCCATGTTTCCATACTACTGAATATCAACTGTCCTGAGGACAAGATTTTGAAACTGGACCAGACCAATTATAATCGCCTCTTCTTATCTTCCCACAGTATCCCCTTCCCGACTCCTAATATTCCTACGTGCCTGCTTCCTCCAACAACCACTTAAGTCTTCCATCACATAGGCATCATCCACCGGATACCGAATGCCTATGCATCCTCAAGCCTCCCACATCCGGCTAGCTCGAGACATCCGCCTCTAGAGAATCGCATCAACGTAACTGGCTACTACCTAATGTTTAAAAGCCGGAGTGCGCAGGACCTCAAATACCAGGTGACGTTGCCCAAATACATCCTTCTCAGCCAAGCTGGGGCCGTTCTCTCTCTCATAATGGTTACCCTATGAGTCACGACAACATTGAATATTCTCTTTTAATCGCG